GGTCCCATGCACAACCCCATCCCCGGCGGAGAGGAACGGGGCAGGTACCGGGCCCTTCCTCGCTCTGTAGCTTGTTCCCCGCTGTTTCCCCCGCAGCCGGTGGCGAGCACTAGTTTGCGGAGTTTAGACAGAGCGCTGCCCCGGTACGGGCTAGAGAGACCACGGCAACCTTGAAAAAAGGGAAAAAACCTGCCTGATTGATTTCTCTCTAGTGCATGCAACCGGACAGCAAAGCATTCAGAATAGTAAAGTCTTCAAATGTAGGGGGTCTGCTTTTAACATCTTTGTATTTCTGTGTGTTTCTTCAGTTGTTTGTAAAAGCATAACGTTGCTGGAAACATGGTTTATGAAAACTAAAAAGTTTTTTTTTTAAAAAAAGTATTAAAATCTTTCTTTTGTTATGTTATTGTACATTTAAATTAACACATCATTTCTACCAGAAGCCGGGAAATGATGCTGAAGGTAAACGTGAGCAGCTTGTCGGAAGAAATGTTTTCCAGTCAAACTGCTGTTCTGGATGCGTTCCGAATTGTTAAGCCGCTAAAAATGGAGAGATTCCTCAGCTGTGTACCTTCACAGTGTCCAACACAGCACACACAGTACTGTATTCAGTGGTTGCAAAAGATTACCCACCCTTGGTGAAGCAGAGGGACAGATGGATGAACTCCAGCCTTGAAAGGTGGTGGATGCCCTCAAAATCCATTTTGGGGTTCTTGATGTGTTTTGGGATGTGGTCAGTGCCACGTAGTCTTGAAGCCTAAATCCTTTAGCTTGATGAATTATGTCGGAATGAAACAGGTGTATGTATTACCACAAAGTATATTACAGTTTGGCATTGTCGTGGTTCAAGCCCAGCCGGCAACTTGGAACCACGCAGCCGCTCGCTCACTCCCCCCCTTTTCCTTCCTCCCCCCGCTCCCGGAGGGATGGGGAGGAGAATTGGAGGAATGTAACTCCCACGAGTTGAGATAACAGCTCTCCAGTCACTACGGTATAATACAAACCACTACTGCTACCAATAATAATGATAAGAGGAATAACAAGGGAAAAGGACACAACCGCTCCCCACCCGCCGACCGATACCCAGCCCGACCCGAGCAGCGATCTGGGCCTTCCGGGTGACTCTCCCCAGTTTATATACTGGGCATGACGTGCTGGGGTATGGAATACCCCTTTGGCCAGTTTGGGTCAGGTGTCCTGTCTCTGCTTCCTCCTGGCTTCCCCTCCTCTCTGGCAAAGCATGAGACTGAGAAAGTCCTTGGTCAGAGTAAACATTACTGAGCAACAACTAAAAACATCGGTGTTATCAGCATTGTTCCCAGACTGAAAGTCAAAAACACAGCACTGCACCAGCTACTAAGAAGGAGAAAAAATGACTGCTGTAGCTGAACCCAGGACAGGCATGAATCCCAGGTTTGAGAAGTAATGTTGTGTTACCTTAGGGTACTAACAAGTGTATGTTCTCAAACTAACCTTTGCTGTTAGACCACTGATACTGTGAAACTTGAACTTCTTTTGGAAGTATGAGAGAGAGAAGTCACTTGGCAGGCTTCTTAATTGTAGTAGCTGCTTTGATTTATCCCTCATTTAGTTAACTGTTCTGTTTACTGGGACCTACCTTTTCAAGACCCAGCAGTTATAGTACTTTCTGATGAGTAGGAGACCTACTCTCAGTTACTAAATGTTTGTGATTGGGAAGAAAAAAGTTACGTGAAAGAAGAATGCAATTAAAAGCATTATGTATACATGGGACTTGATTTTACATGGGAGCTGTCTGGAAAGGAGATGATACGTAACAAAAGATACCTTCAGTATAGCACTGAACTTTCTATTAAAAGTGCTAGAAATCCTAATTTATGTTAAGGATCTGTACACACTCACTTTAAAAAGGAAAAAATAAAAGTGCCCTCCAAATACATATTTTGAGTAGTCAGTATAGAGAAAAGATGGGGAAAAGGAAATGAGGTTCTGATGTTGTAGATGAGAACTGAGAGATTTGGAGAGAGACAGGTTTTCATGAGTTTTTATAACAGCTCCTGTTTTTATGCTTATGGCTATTATGCTGTGTTTTTAAAAGCTGCACAAGTGGCTTGCACATGAGGAGTCTGCACAATAACCAGCGCTCAGTCTGGGTCCTGGTTAATTTTAGTTAATTAAGTATTACCATTTTGAAAAATACTGTCTCTTGAATCAGAAATTCCTTAAAAAAGATGAGAAAAGAGTTAGAAACGTGGAGAGAGACCACCCTTTTCTTGGTGACTACGAGTGCGAGGGTGACCGAAGTACTGCATATTCACATTTTTTATTTCATTATGGTGTTATTTCATTTGAGCTAACGTCGCCGTCCTTTCAGCTCCAGTGAAGTTTCCTACTTTCCCAGTTGTCACCTACTACAGTCGTTTCTCCCATGCAGTTTCTCACAGACTCTGTGTATTTCTCTGTTAGGCTGTGTTTGCCTCTCTGAATCCAACTGACTTAGTACAACTTCCTAATGACTTGTTTGTCTCCCGAGTACCGCTATATCCCTATCTCTTCCCATGGACATAGATAAGCCTTTTTGAAACCAAGGAACTGGGGGCAGGGCTATAAACAAGTAAAGGCAATAGTGCTTTCATTTTTGAAGGAGTGGGGTTTTCTTCCTGTGTAGCACTTGCTTGAATCAAATAATCATGCTCTGGGGCCTTCAAGAGATGAAATATACCTGGTGGAAAAGGGAAGAAAAGCAAAATTTGCAAGGCCAGCAAGAATGCAGTTTGATCTGTTTTCATGTTCTGTGATTTGTATTAAACTTACAGCTTCCTAACTTACTACAAAGGCAAAAAACCCCACCCATATGTGTTTACTTTCCTGCTTCAGTTTAACTCAGTTTTTCTGGAGGAGTAAGTCTAAAGAAACAATACTGATGAATGCACTGGAAAGTTAAATATTTTCTTGAAAGTGGCAATTGGTCTTGAAATGCTACAGGAAGGAGCCAGTGAATGGTCTAGTAGATTATTTTAACATTTTGTTTTGAAAAGTCAATGTGTGAGAAGCTAAAATGGGTAGTGACTGTGTCAGTAAAATGTGTAGCACATACTTGGGCAAAACCAGTGCCCGTTAAAGTTGTGGCTTTCATTACTGGTAGTTGCATTCTTCATAAACCATTTTAATTCATGTTTCAAGACCCTGGCTTTTTTGTTAATTTGACACAGGTGAATGGTGTCCATCCAGAATGCAGATTTCAGCTGGAGATTCACAAGGAGGAAACAAGGTGCATGGAACTTCTGAAGAATGCAAAGCCAGTGGACTACAAAGGTAAGAAAAGATAAGCCGTAATTTAGAGGCAGCTGGAGTATTCAGTATTTTCTCTCTTGTCCTTCTTTGCTATTGCAGTTGCTGTATTTGTGCTTAGAATTTTATGTATTTTAGAATCTAGGCAAACTATGCTTTAAAGGTACGGCTGGATCAGGGACGTTGTAAGGGATGTGCCAGGCGCTCTGCATGCACTGGATGGGACACTACATAGGAGCATTCTCATGTTTAATCTTGCTGCTAGTATGTGTCCTGACTGGGAGAGAGGCTGCAGGCTGGTGATGATAGGACCACCAGAAAGAGTAAGTCTGAGAGAAAGTTGAAAGCCTCGGATCCAAGCATCTCTCTCTAGCTATGGTTGAAGGTAAAGGATTACTGCAGTACTCTTGCAGTGCAGTTGATTTCCTTTGGCTGAACTAGGTGATACACAGCATATTTCTTTTTTCATATTCAGTCTGTTTTGGATGTGCTCTGAAGATGACTATGGTACCTTAGGGATCGACCATCTGCAGTGCCACTTAAACATAAACATGAGTCCCACAATGCTTTCTCCACCTCTCTTCTCAATTTAAATATGTAACTCCATTTATACTAATATCAATTCATATGCAAGAAAATAATTAAAAGGGCCATCAGCAGTTTGTATTTTACTATAATTTCTCCTCTTATTAATCCAGATAAGTAATCAGAAAAAATCTAATAACAGTGAATAAGTTACATAGATATCTCTCTGTGTAACTCCAAGCAAAATCTTACTGGAATAAGTCAACTACATTTAGATTGTTTAATTTATATGAGTGGTGAAGAGAGATGGCTGTTACATAAATAATACTAGTGTGAAGCCAGATGGAGAAATAATCAGTAGCTCAGCTTAATGAGTTAAATATTGAATTTAGAAATTCACTATTAGCTATTATATGGCTTTGAAAGTCAAGCTTTCTTCAAGATCCACTTTTGTGATCCAGATGCTGGGTTCCAAGGGTATCCTTGTGATGCATATCAGTTTTATTTTGGGTTATGTATATAGGGGAAGAAAGAAATTTTCTATCAGTATTTTCTTCACAGCCTCTTTTCAGTGGAAGAGGGGTGCCTCCTGAAGGCAAACTGCTGTGGAAGAACTTAATGTATTGGAAGACGACAGTGAGATTGATGGTGTTGATTCAGTCTTTGAGATAGTGATAAAACAGCAGGGGAATTCAATTAAGTTATACATTTAATGGAATGCCTGGCTGAAACTAAGGGTGTATTCCATTTTGTAGGAGACTGGAATGAATCCAGTGTGGTAATGAACCCTTAAAAACTGTATGTTTAATGTTATAGGAGAATTTATCCGATGCTTCACGTTATAGATACCTTTACCAAAAACCTGCTCAGAAGAGCCTACGTTAGATATATGCATCTGCATTTCCAAAAATATCCATTCTCTGTATGTCCTTATTTTTCTAATAAACTCTGTATTCATACAAAGATGTAAGGAATATTTTGAACAGAGACTTGCAGATTGTCACAGTGATACTCTGACTACTGATAAAGAATTACTAATGAAAATTGGCAAGCCAGAACCTAAAACTTTTAGTACATTTGAAACATAATTCATCGCAATACATTCACAAATCCTATTTCACTTTTTTCTGAATGGGAAAAATAGTTAGATTGCCCTTGTCATGCTTTCCTGACTGTAGGATGTTCTACCTGCCTTAGAAAAGCTATACTGAAATCTAGCGACAGTCCTGTCTAGAATTTAGAAATAAAAGTTCACTGATTTTCCACTGGAGGCTTGAGCTTCTGTTCTCAAAATTAAGGGGAATTTTTTCATTAATTTCTTGGACGCCTGAAAAGCCTTCACACCTCTGTGTAACATGCTCCAGAATTTGGCTGGCGTGCGTAGCTACTGAATTTGGGAGGATCCAAGTTTTATGTAGTTTCTCCTGTGACCTAGGTGGCAATTATGTATTGGATGCCTTATCTAATACTTCTCAGCTCCCAGTTCGGAGACCTAAATGAAAGATTTAAAAGCAGTTGTGGTATTTTTTCTTTTATATAATAAAATGACATTACAGTCGTCTTACCCGAGCTGCCTCAAACCATAGGCTGAAGAATTCTGCTGAGCAGTTTTTGTAGTGCACCTAAAATCCCTGACTATGAAGTTTATGAAGGACTTGCTTACTTCATGGCTTAATAAAGCAATAGTGTATTTTGCAAGGAAACACTGTATAAATACTGCGTAATATCCTTTGAACAATGCTGAGGATATGGTATAACCACACACCCAGTTTGTCTAAATTCTGCTCATTTGCCAACACCGAACTGTCAGATATCTGGACCTCCTGCTTTACACCCTTTGGGGGCTTTTCAAGCATTAGCACATACTTTTCCGTTAGTGGAGAGCATTACACTCCATTTAGGGAAGAAAGTCACTCTCCAAAGATCTGTGGCAGTGCCTTCCTCTCTGTAGTGCTCTCTAGCAGATCTAGTTGTTTATTTTATGAAGACTGCATTAGCTTCTATCTGCATTTGTTTTCTTATTTTCTCCTATGATTTGACACCTGAGGTATGGATGCACCTTAGCTGGAAGCCTAGGAGAGTTCTTTTGCTCACTCATTTTGGAGGGCAGATTAATTGCTTTCTAAATAGCTTATAATAGCTACGGATTTTGAGGTCCATATGGAAAAATACTAATTTATTTTTTATCTACTACCCGTGGCTTGTCCTCTTACATAAAATAGAAAGCTGCCAATGAAAGTGATAGAAGTATATAAAAATTTTCTATATAAAGTAATCTACTAATTTCTGTCCACCTTTAATTGTCAAGTGAAATAATATGGTAAAAGTGTTAAAAATTATTATACTTGAAAAATATTTAATTTAAAAAAAATAAGTCTAGGATATTTTTTCTTCATTTTGGCTGCACAGTTCTATCAGTCTTCTTGGCTTTTGTTTTCCAAAATGTGTTTTTGTGAGACTTATGTGCCAGATAACATTTTTAATTTTAGATATGACATCTTAACTTTGCGGAAGGGATGTAGACAGAAAGAGAAATGGATTTGGAAAGAAGTTCATAAACCTCTCAAAGAGAGGCTTCATAATGCAGCTAGTAATGGGAAATTAAAACAGACAGGACTACTATTCACAAACTTAAAGCAAAAGGGACTAATGCTATATAATCCGATCTCCTGATAATTCAGGATAATTCACTGCCAATAGAATTTCATTGAGTGATTCTAGCACTAAACTCATGATCTTGTGAATGAAACACAACACATTTTCCTGTTCAGAACAGAGTGAATCTACAAATGTTGGACTCTTGGCAAGTTGTCCAAAAGTTGGTTTATCCAGCTAACCTCTGCTGTTAAGGTTATTTCTCCAGTAAGAAGGGTGTATATTGTGCATCTGCGTCTCACAAAAGGACTGGCTGTGAGTGTAACTAAGCCAACCTGATGATCACTCTTCCCTCCACATCAGTAAATAGGAGACTTACAGAAAGCCAGATGAAGCATTTCTTCTGCTACATGAAACGGAATCTCCTTAAGGTTCCCCCTTTCTTAATCCTCCTGATTTCATCAATGTCTTCCAACAGTTTTTGTTCGGTTTTGCAGCTATTTTCTCTGTAAAATGAGTCATTAGTTCAGACTACAGTGTTGCTTAGAGTTGTCTGAGGTAGCATTAAAGGTAGAATTAAATGATGTAGTGGGATCTTGGAACTTCCTTTCATTCACCACTGGTAGCCCTTGACAGATCAACTTTATCTTTCTTGCGTTTGTGCTGCTACTTTTCTACCTGTAGTATAGACGTTGCTACTGTTCACCTATATTTTTCTGAGGGAAGCTGAAGGGCCTGCTTTGAATGTTTGTCTATTTTGGCATCCATTAGTGGAAGTGTCATTGTTAATGGCACCACATAAACCTGATCATCCTTATGGTGCTGACAATGTCTGGGCCTTATGGGAGCTATACTTAAAGCGAGAGGGGTGGAGCTGGTTCATCTTCAGAGGAGGCTGGGTGCTAGGAGAGAAAGAACTGTGAGTGAAAGGAATTGCTACTGCAGAATAACCAACAGGAAATAAATGGTGAAGATGATCAGCCTCATTCAAAAAGACATAATCTAAACTAATAGAAATATATGGTCCCAAAACTTTACAGGGACTTTTAATATTTTGCAATGGGGATTATATGAACAGGAGATTGATGTTTAATTATATTTTTTAAGAATGTCCAGCATATCTAAATTGAGGCAATATGAAGATAAGTACCTCTTATAGCTTTAACTATACATCCATGAGTATCTTTGCGATATAATAGAAATGGTGTTCATATGGTAAGATTAGAGTGTGTCCATTTATACAAAACCAAAAGCTTGTCTCGAAAGAACATTATGAGTAGTTGGAAAGCAGGATTTACTTGATGGAAGATTTGGATGGATTTGGGTGTAGTTTCTTCTTCAGAAGGTTTTTTTCAAAGTTTTTAGCTGACAACTTCCACATTTCCTTACAGAACCCTAAAAATATGTAAACTACATTAAAATACAAAATTATCTTAGAGATTTTTTTTACTCTCTAAGGAGAAATTGTTCCTCAGAAGGAAAATAAGGCGTTTCTCCTGAAACATTTCATTTAGTGAAAAGCCATTAATCCCCTAGAAATCCCAGTAAAAAACCCCAGTGTTTTTGCCATTCCTGGTAGTAGGACTGGCTTTTGAAAACGTGTAAACCGCAGGCTGGCAGCTCGCTGTGGGGGGACTTTGGGAGCCCAGGCAGGCAGGACACGCAGGCAGAGCCCATCCCACCCGCAGCCAAGGTGGCTGGAGGGTAGCCATGGGCAGCCTCGGGCATGGGGCAGCTCCCTAGGGTTGGGGCAGCTGAAGACATCCGCCTGCAGGTGCAGGGAGCCAGGGTTGGGCACGTTCCTGGGATGGCCGGGCAGGGCCACAGTGGTGGGTCAGGTCCTACTAGTGCACTCAGGGCCCTGGTGAAAGTAGAGAGCAAGTAACTTTAGCAATGCAGCTTGG